TTCTCGGTGGGCTCCCTGTGGGCCACAATCCTCGTGGCGTGTGCGCCGAAACGGGGCGGGTGCCGTATGCGGACCCTGGCACTGGAGCCTTCGGTGGAGCTCTCCGTCGGGCCACGAAACGAGTGAAGGGCGTGCCGAAATCGAAATGCGGAGAGCAGCGGCAGGAGGACAGGGAGGAGGGAGAGGGGGACGCTGCGGCAGTGAGGGAGGAAGCGACGACGACGATGACGACGACGACGGCGACGACAACGTCGGACGGACGGACGGACGGACGACGGACGACGACGAAGGCCGCCGCCAAACCACCATCCTCATCCTCATCAGATTCCTCCTCCTCCTCCTCCTCCTCCTCCTCATCATCATCATCATAACCCTCATCCTTGTCCACATCCTCCTCCTCCTCCTCCTCTTCTTCCTCCTCATCATCACCGTTCTCATCAGAATACTCATCCTCCTCCTACTCCTCCGCCTCCTCCTCCACCACATCATCATCATCATCATCATCATCATCATCATCATCATCATCATCACCACCACTACCATCATCATCATCATCATCATCATCATCATCATCATCATCATCATCATCATCATCATCATCATCATCATCATCGTCATCATCATCATCATCATCATCATCATCATCACCATCACCACCATACGCATCATAATCATCCGCCTCCTCCTCCTCATCATCATCATCACCATCATCATCAGCATCAGCATCATCATCGTAATCATCATCATCGACGTCATCCTCATCATATTCATTATCATCCTCATCCTCGCCATCATCATCATCATCATCACCATCATCACCATCATCATTATTACAAACATCACACTCATCATCACCATAATCATCTGCATCCTTATCATCGTACTCAGCAGCATCATCATCATCACCATCACCATCAGCATCATCGTCAGCATCATCGTCATCCGCATCCTCCTTGTCATCGTGATCATCTCTTTCATCACCAACATCGTCATCATCAGCATCATCAGCATCCTCGTCCTCACCATCATGCGCGCCATCACCATCATCCTCATCATCCACGTGGTCATGGTCATCATCATGGGCACCCACAGCACCATCCTCAGAACGAACAACATCATCATCAGCATCACCATCATCATCAGCAGCATCATCAGCATGTTCATCGTCATGTTCATCATCGTAATCGTCCTCATCTTCATCCTTTCCCTCACCCTCCTCCTCATCATCATAATCAACATCGTCATCCCCATCATCATCATCATAATCACTGCCGTCATCATCATCACCATCACCATAATCGTCATCCTCATCGTCATCGCCATCATCATCATAATCATCATCCTCACCCTCATCGTTATCATCATAGTCAGTATCAACCTCATCATCGCCATCCTCATCACCATCCGCATCGCCAACTTCAGAATTAGCATCGCTATAATCATCATCGAAATCATAACGGTCGTCATAATCATCACCATCACCATTATCATCATCATCGTCGTCACCATCGTCGTCATCATCATCACCATCATCATCTCCATCCTCATCATCATGATCATCCTCATCCTAATCCGCATCCTCACCCACGTCGTCATCATCATCAGCATAATCATCATCAACATCACCATCAGCATCACCATCATCATCATTCTCATCTTCATCATCATCATAGACAGCAGCATCATCATCATCATCATCATCATCATCATCAGCATCATCATCATCATCATCATCAATATCACTGGCATCATCAATGGCAGCAATAACACCATCGTCGTGAGGATCACCGTCACCTTCATAATGATTCCTGCCCCGCCGTCATTCATCACCATCACTATCGCAATCACCGGGTCGGGCAGGCAGGACAACAAATATCCTGGCGACGTACCCAACCATATCATGCAGCTGTCAGCACCGCAATGGTGAACGTCCTTTTCGGTGGAGCTCCCTATGGGCCACGAAACGTGTGTGGGTCCGAATCGGGGGCGGGTGCGACATGCGGACCCTGCCGCTGGGGCCTTCCGTGGAGCTTCCTGTGTGGCAACGAAACGAGTGAGGAATGTGCCGAATCGGGGGGCGAAAACGCCATGCGGACCCTGCCGCTGGGGCCTTCGGTGGAGCTCCCTATGAGGCGACGAAATGTGTGAGGGGTTCCGAATCAGGAGCTGGTACGCATGCGGACCCTGTCGTTGGGGCCTTCCGTGGAGCTCCCTATGGGGCCACGAAGCGTGCGAGTGGTGTGTCGAATCGAGTGCGGGTACGCCATGCGGACCCTGACGTCGGGGCCTTCGGTGGAAGCTCCCTGTGGGGCCACGAAACTGGGGCCACGAAACGTGTGAGGGGTGCCGCATGCCAATTTACAAACTGTAAGGAGACTTTGATCCCAGCGTATACGGGTTATTTACCATGCCCCGCCACGGTCTGGCCTCGTTGGGCCGAGGTGGTTCCAGCGAGGGAAGTTGGCGTTGCCCTGGGTGCCTCCACGGCGGCGTAGCCAGGCGCGCCACAAGCTTCTGCGGGGTCGTTGCTCGCTGCTCTCGCTGTCGGCACCGACTCGTCCGGGCCATAATCGCTACGGCAGGTTCGTGTCGTGACGACTCCGGCGTTGGTTTCTGACACCGCGTGGATCGTTCAACCTTGAACGATTGGGTGCTTTTCGATCGCCCGATCGTGAAATGTTGGTCGATTCTGGGCGACTGGCGGAGTTCAACCTTGAACGCCCGCGGCGGGGTCGCCGATGGTCGACACGACGCGAACCTACCGTACAATCCCTCCCAACTCTCTCTTCCCCCTCTGGCTCCGCTGCCGCTGGGCTGGACGCCACGCCTGGTGCCGATCCGCAGCGACCCCGACGCACAAGGCGGGCCCCCCGAAGCCGAACACCATGAAAGACGTCTGATCGCCGGAGACCGTGGAGAGTCATGCGAAGCGTGAAACCTCGATCCACTTCCATCCTGCTCCTCCTCCTCCTCCTCCTCCTTTTCTCCTCCTCCTCCTCCTCCTCCTCCTCCTCCTCCTCCTCCTCCTCCTCCTCCTCCTCCTCCTCCTCCTCCCTCCTCCTCCTCCTCCTCCTCCTCCTCCTCCTCCTCCTCCTCCTCCTCTCCTCCTCCTCCTCCTCCTCCTGCTCCTCCTCCTCCTCCTCCTCCTCCTCCTCCTCCTCCTCCTCCTCCTCCTCCCGCTGCGACGCTCTGAGAGGGGGCTTCCTCCCTGTCAACCCCCACGCCCGCTGGCCATTGCCAGGACCGCGGCGGCACGGTGGGAGGCCGAGGCGATGAGATTCGACAGCGGACAACGACGACGACGACAAATCAGGGTGAATGGCAAATAGCTACAGGCAGATCCGGGTAGACCGACGGGAACCCAGAGATCTCCAAAGACATCTGGAGCCAACCGTTGCCGCTCCAGCGCGAGCCGAGGGACGGCAGACGCCGCTACGCTCTCGACGACGACGACGGGCACGGCGCCCCGGCGGCGCCGGGGCGCCGCGGGCGGCGCCTGGTGCCGATGCGCAGCGCCGGCCTCGGCGGGGCACGCGCGTCCCACAGCAGCGCACTGCGGTCGAAGCCGCCGGTGACGCAGAGGTGGGGCGACACCCAGGCGGCGCTGTACGCGGCCGCGGCGTGGCCTGCTTCCGAATGGGGGGCGGGGAGGGGGCCAGAGGGGGGGATGAGGAGCACGATGGGGTAATGGTGGCGACGACGGTAGTGATGATGGTGATGGTGGTGAGGATTGTGGTGGTGGTGATGGTGGTGATGACGAGGATGATGCTGGTGATGATGGTGATTGACGGTGACGATGCTGAGGATGCTTATGACGACGATGATGATGACGATGGTGATGGTGATGGTGATGGTGGTGATGGTGATGGTGATGGTGATGGTGGTGATGATGATGATGATGATGATGATGATGATGATGATGATGATGGTGGTGGTGGTGGTGGTGATGCTGCTGCTCTCTGATCACGCGACCCCATAGCCGCCACCGACGCTCCCAGGCACTTGAACAATAACAAAGCGAACTATGAAATGTCGAGAGGAGTTCCCTCTTCAACGCGAAAGCCTAGGTTAAATGTCCCAAGACACGGCGAAGCGCCCCGCTGCACCGCCCGACGCGGCAAAGCTCCAGGAGCCCCGAACGGATTTTCCAGAGGCGCCGAATCGAGAGCGAGAGGAGGCCAGAGCTCCGCTCGAGAGAAGGGTCGGTGGAAGACTGCTAATCGGAAGCTCCGACCACTCCCTTGCAAGCGAGACCTCGAGACCCCGGGAGCTCGACAGCGGTCGCACGCCGATCCGAACAAGCTTTTTTCTTCGATGCCGGCGAAGGCGACCCCGCCAGCGTAGACGGCGGCGAGCGGGCCTCTCTCGAGTCCAGCCGCCGCCAGTCTATCCAGGATGAATCTAGGGTCCAAGAGGGGGGGTGGCAGAGTCTAAAACGGCCTGCTCAACCGTGCACTGGCAAAAACAGAAGGGCCTGGACCATCCCATGGGAAGCACGCGCAATACCACAAGTTTCGCTAATCCCTTGGAAACTCCGGGAACAACAGGACAACATACCTCACGGTGGCGGGCGGAGACAGGAGGGAGGACAAAGAAATCTTCGACGCCCTCTGGCAGGGCGCGCCCTGCTCCGACAGACAGGGCGCATTATCAACATCAGCTTGACAAAGAGATGCTTCATATTGGTGTGGCACGTGCAGAGAACTCCATGCACTAGCCGTTGGTAGCTGTAAATACCCAGGGCAACTGAGACTCGTTGCTGCCACGGGCATCGAAAATCAGTCGCTGCCGAACGCCGTCGCTCTTGTCTTCCGGACGAAGAACGCCCCGAGCGTTGCGTCGAGGGTGGCCTTCAGCGCCACCGCGCCGGCGGCGTGGAGGTCCAGCGCAAACTGGGCGCGCGTCCTTTTGGAGCGGGGCCGACTGTCAGCGCGTGGCTTGAAATTCTTGGACACAGACTCCCGGCTGACACCGGGCCGCATTAGCTGTTTCCGCTACTTTCAAAAACTTGAAGCCGCGCCGCCGAGCCGCTGGTCGCCGTGGGCCAGCGCCCCGCCAGCCGGCAGCGAGACGAGCTCTCGCTGAGAAGGAGCTGACTTCACCGGGTCTCCGCGCCCAAGCCGACTTCCGCGCAGCTCATCGCAGGCTGCCGCGGTGCCCGCATCTGGCGCGCCAAGGCGCTCCCAGCCACTTCGGAGATGCTGCACAACACAAGACGGAGCAAGAGAAAGGCGGTGCGAAGCCTGGGCCTCGCCGCAATTCCACAAAAGGTTGACGGCTGTCTGGGGCTCCCGCGCGCGGTCGTCGACGGCGGCCCGGCGGCGTGCGCGGCTTCGGACAGAGCGACATCCGCAGTCCGAGCCAAGTGGCTCCGTCGACGCCGGGGGCGCAGCCACGTCAATCGGCAACAGCTCGCGAGCCACCGCCACGTCGGCCGGCAGCGCAGCGTATAAGCCCGCGGGTGCGCCGGCTTGCCAGCCAGGGGCAGGGCCTTGCAGGCCGCTGCTTGCCTCCGCGGCCGCTCCTTGCAGCGCCATCCGTTGGGCCTCCGGACCCAGAGCCGCCGCCTCCGCCGCGGCCCTGCAACTTCTTGAGCTCCCGCGCCTGCTGCTGGATCGACTGCTGCAGCGCCGCCTTGACGCCTTTGCCTGCGCAACCACCGCCGCCGCCGCCTCGAGAGTGCGCGGCGCGCTCCTTGGAGTCCTTGGAGAGCTTGCACCGCCCCTTGAGCACGCCCGCCTCGCGGTGGAGCTCGGCCGCAATGTGGCCTTGGAGCTCCCCCGCGACCCACACCACGTTCAGTGTACAAACTATTTTTTGTTGGCGCCTGCGGCGGGCTGTTTTTGCATGCCTTCCAGGTGGAGGTGGAGAGCCCGCGACCCACCCGCGACCCAACCACGTTCATTGAACCACGACGCCTGTACTGCAGGATTTCTCGGTGCGCGCGTCGCCCCTGGGGGGGCGACGCACACATAGCATTACGCAGTATGTTGGGGTGACGGCGACGGCCACTGGCCCCCCCCCATCTCGACTCCCCTGGGATCCGACGTCGCGAAACATGCAACGTCGTGGCGAATCACGACCTTGCTCTACAGCAGACCCCATGCCTTTCTGCGGCATCTCTCGAGCCACATCGATCCGTGAGGACCGATGGGCCCGAGACGTGAGTCGAAAGCGCCCAGCGTGAGAAACTGCAGCGCCTGGGTCTCGGAGCCCCTCTCCTCCTGCAAATGTCTCTCGGGCATCCTAGCTGGCTCCCTCCTCGCCCGGTCCACCCGCCATCAGCCGTCCCTCGGCTCAGGCTGCCGTGGGCGCCAATGGAAAACGGAGCGAGGAGAAAGAGAGAGAGAGAGAGACCGGGGAGCGCGGCAGGAGGCCACGATGACGACAACGACGACCACGATGGCAACGACGACGACAACGATCCCAACGATCACAACGAGGAGGATCGTAGCTGTCGTTCTCATCGTGGCATCGGCCGCCGGCGACACCCAGGCTTCCAGCTGGTGGCACAGGCCATGCGAGGCGGCAGGGAGCCGCGCGAGGAGCGCCCGCCAGACGCTGGCCAGCACAAGAGCCGCAGAGGTGAGGACGAGGAGGACGGGCACGCTGGCAGCGGCCACGGTAGCTGCCCTGGACGAGCCAGAGGAGGAAGGAGAGGGAGAGGAGGGCGGCGCTGAAGGAGACCCAGGAGCTGGCCCAGGGGGATCGGAACAGCGGATGTGGGTCTGCCCTGTTTGCGCGAAGACGGAGAGGGCCAAGGGCGGCAGACAGATGAGTTGGACGATTCAGAACCACCTCCGCCAGAGGCACCCAGAGGAGGTCAAAGCGGCAATGGAGGAGGCTGCAAAGTTTGGCGGGGGTCGCACGGGCCTGACACTGCAGGAGCTCCTCAGGCCCATTGCCTTCGCTGCGGAGCTCCCGGAGGGGGAGCGGGCGTTCACCTGCCCGTACTGCGCTAAAGGATTGGCGCGGTGCAGCCGGTGGCAGACTGAGATGTCCAAGAGGGCGCACCTCCGCGAGTGCCGCCCGGGCACGACGCTGAAGGAGATGTACCGGCTGGTGCAGAAAGGGGAAGCCAATCGCCAGGCGATGGCCCGCAGGACGGCGGCGAGCAAGGAGGCGAAGTCCTTGGCAGCCGTGGAGAACTGGAACAAACGGTTGAGCCCGCTGGGTCACGAGGTGCAGCGCCTCGGGATCAAATGGCCGAAGCCGCAGAGGGAGCAGCAGAGGGAGCAGAGGAGAGGTTTCATGATGACGTGCGTGCGGTGCAGGACCGAGGCCAGAGACCTGCACAACGCCAAGCGGAAGTGCGTGGCCGAGGGGGACGCGCAAAGGGCGAGGCAGAGGCCTGACGGCCGGTGGTGGTGGACCTACACCATGGCCGGCCCCGACGAGGACAACAGCCACAATCGGGCTGCCCTAACACAGGCATGGGGCATGACACCGGAGGAGGTGGTGGAGAAAACGGCGGCGGCGACGGAGTGGGCGGAGACACACCAAGCCACCGTGAAGAAGCGCCGCGAGCGAGAGCAGGAGTGGCAGGAGCAGGAGACTGCTAAGGCGGCGAGGAGGGAGGAGGATATGGGGAGACGGCGAGCGCCGCGCCAGGCGGACGACGCTGACCCAGACCCCATTGCATACGAGCTTCGTGCGAGGCGGCGCGGAGGAGGTGCAAAGGAGGGGGCAGTAGAGAGGAGGAGGAAGAAGAGGGAGGCTGAGAAGAGGAAGATGGGGCCGCAGGCTTCGGCTTGACAAACGGCACAGGCGGGGGCCGCGCTGCCGGGGCGCTCAGAGGAAGACCCCCAATGCAAGGCCCAAGGAAGGAGAGGCTCAGGAGTAAGCCGGAGAGGCGAGACACGCCGGCGTCCACCCAGCAGTGTGGGCCAGGTAGATGATGAGGTGGCGGAGGAAGAGAAGGAGGCCCTCCCACGATCCATCGGCCACGCGGCCGGGACAGAAGCGGACACAGAGAAGGAAGAGGAGGCGAACTTTTGGCCGCTGCTTAGGAGAACAACTTCAGCGCAGGAGGAGGAGGAGGCAGCTGAGGAGGAGGAGGAGGAGGCAGCTGAGGAGGAGGAGGAGGCCTGCTGTGCCACCCTGGGCGTTCGCAAAAACGCCCTGGCAGAGGCAGAGGAGGAGGCAGGGAATCAGGAGGTAGAGGGAGGCCGCGAGGATGAGGCCAAGGCAGGTGAGGAGGATCGAGGAGAGGAGGGACGCGAGGAACAGACCCAGGAGGAGGCCCTGTACCTCAACCTCCGCGGGGGCCGCTCGAGTCGTGCCAAGAGCAAGCCGGACAAGGCGGAGGAAAGGATACGCATCGTCATGAACAACACTGGAGGGGCACCAGGGGCATGGCGATTGCTGGAGGAGGTCCGGCCCTACAAGCCGGCAGAGGAGGAGCAGACAGGAGGCGCAGTGCATGCGGATGTGGTCTTGATCCAGGAGCTCCGCATGAAGGACGAGGATTGGCAGAGTTTCGCACGCGCTGCCAAGAGGCGAGGATACGAAGCTTTCCGCCAGGAGGGCACTCGTGGGCGAGGGCGCTGGGGCGAGGAGACGGCCTTGGGAGGAGTGGCCACGCTGGTCGGCAAGACCATGCCCCACAGTCTGGTGACAGGGAGGACGGAGGGTCCGGCCCAAGCATTGGTGGTGCGGGTGGCGGGGTGGCAGTGCATCAACACGTATGGACCCCCCAGCGCTGCCGGGAAAAAGGCGCTGTTGGAGGTGGCCAACGCGGTGATGATACAGTGTGGTGGACGGAGAGACCCATGGCTGTGGGGCGGCGACTTCAATGACGAACCTGTGGAGTCAGCTTGTGAGGCGGTGGTCGTTCACAACGGCGGTGTGGTGCTGCCAGGCTGTGAGGCCGGCACGCGCTGGCGAGGCCGGCGGAGGGTGGATTGGTTTGCGACTAATGCGCGGGAGTGCGCTGAGGCCGTGACTGCGGCGGCACTGGTGACGTCTGACCATAGGGTGCTGCGCACAACAATCCAACCACAGATCAGGCTAGACAGGCGAATGGGCAAGCTGCGCCCGACGCCCTCTTGGAAGAAACCCAAGGGGGTGGACGCTGACAGGTGGAGACAAACCCTGGAGGAGGCCTGGGCTGCGACGGCCTCGAGGGAGGTGAGGACGAGGCTGGAGACGGCACTTGAGGAAGAGGAGGTCCAGGCTGAGGAGGAGTGGGCCGACTTCAATGCGGCGCTGGAGGCCATGGTCCGCCGCGCCTTCACGATACTCGCGGAGGAGGAGGCCGCCGCGGTCAGAGAGGAGACGGCGGAGGCCTGCCGGAAGGCTGCCGCCGCGGAGGGAGGCAAAGGAGGCTGCGGGGAGCACCGCTGGGAGCAGCTCCGCGGCTCGGGCGCAGAAAACCAGGACACCTTCCAGGTGCGCCGGGCGCGGCGGTGGATCGCCAGGGCAAAGGAAGCTCAGAGGCAGCGCGCTGCGGCCGGCGACGCCTGGGGCGGCAAGGAGGAACACCGCAAGCTCTGGCGGCGAGTCCAGCGAGGGCCCGACCGAGGAGGTGGAGGCCGCCAGGGAGGCACAGCAGGAGCAGGAGGACGAGGACCTCAGAGGCAGCAGCAGCAGGCAGAGCCAGAGGAGGCAGACAGCTGGAGGGACTTGGAGGCACGCATCCGTCGGGCGGAGGAGGCCCTGCGGGCAGTGGAGGAGGCGCAGCGGCAAGAGAGGCTCCAGGAATGGCGCGACCGCGTGCGTGGGGGCATCCAGGAGGTCTCGGCGTGGCTACGCGGACAGAAGGAAGCGGCGACGGCGCCCACGGTCACCTGGGAGGGAGAGCCAAAGGAGACTTTGGAGGAGGCCACAGAGGCGATCCGGCAGCACTGGCAAGCTGTGTGGGCGCCGCAGAGTGAGGAGGGAGCCGAGAGGCGGAGGAGGGAGGCGACTGACCTCATGGCTGCGGAGTACGCGAGGAACCTCCACGAGGTGGAGTGGCGTGACCCCACGCAGCAGGAGGTGCGGCGGGCGCTGGGGCAGGCAAAAGGCAGCGCCAGCGTGGACGGCTGGTCTGGGCCTGAGATCCGCTACATGCCAGCCGGTGTAGCTGATACGTTTCGAAAGATGGCCCTCCGGTGGCAGCGGGCCGAGGAGGTCCCGGAGGCACTGAAGGAGACGAGGCAGGCAAACCTCCCGAAGCCAGGTAAGGTGGTGGCCGGCCGGCTGAAAGCTGAGGACACGAGGCCCATCAACGTGGAGTGCGTGTGGTGGCGTGTTTGGGCTTCGGCATGGGTCAAATCGGCCCCGGCTGCGGAGTGGAGGAAGCACAATATCCCTGAGGAGGTGCTTGGAGGGGCGCGCTCAAAGGGCGCGGAGGAAGCCGCTGCGGATATTGCGGATAATCTGGCCCAGCAGGGGTTTGCTGGAACGCTTGACTTTTCCTTGTGTTACGACCACATGCACCCTGAAGTCACATGTGACCTGATGGAGCGGGCGGGGTGGCCCCGGAGGATCACGCGACTTTGCAAGACAATGTGGACGGACCAGCGGAGGTGGGTCATCTGGAATGGCCATGTGA